GGGAAGGGCACTATGTGTACATAGATGGGTGGAAATTCAGGCGAGATTATTCTGGTGGAAGGTTATGGAAATTTCCTGACCTAACATATAACCCTCTTCATACTTTCCATCTTGGTCACTCCACTCCTCAGAATATTGCTGTTTAGCCTGTTTGGTTTTACAGACAAGAAAGTCCCTGAAGTTTTTTGAGCAAGTGAGTTTCATGATCAAAATACCATTTTAGATTAATGTACCTGTCTCTATAAAAGCAGAATTTACAAATAGGAGAGATTATAGTCCCTGAAGTCCTGCTGTTGAGGTTTTAGGGGTGCTGGGACCTCAAAATATTGAGAGCAAGAGACCTGAGTCTTGCCCGAATAAATTCAACCCAAGCCTTCTTTCAGCCAAAGACAAGGTTTATTAAAGATCTACCATATTGACCAGACTTTTAAAGAATCTGAGCATTCGTGAGCTATTGGCCAGATTTTAAGAATCTGAGCACCTTAATAGAGACATGATGGACTTTATGTACAGAAAGGGTGTGGGAGGGATCTAGAAGCAGCCAAGTAATTTAGGGTGACTGTGAGGAGGGATCTAGGGAAGATCTTGATGAGAGTGACTGGGAGGTAGAATGGGGTCTAGATAGGATCAAAGGGGTTGGGGGGGGGCAACGGGAGGTGAGAGACAGTGGAGTGCCAGGCTAGGTTAGAAAGGCCAGTTGATAGGATTATAGCCTCAGGCGAAAGCTAGATTTCTTTGACCAAGTGGGAGACTTCAAAGAGAGTCCAAGGTAGGGTTTTCTAGGGCCTGTAGAGAATGAGCCAGTGTTTGCTGCGAGGGTGCATCCACTAAATTTTACTGAAAACAGTGTTGGCGATGAGAAGGTCATGAGATGCACAAGTCTTCAATAGTAAGTGACCATTGCTGTTGCTGTTTTCAACTCCACTCCTTCCTAGAATTCCCTGCCAAGTCTGGTAGTCTGAGCCTACTCTAGCAGTAAAGTCACCCAGAATTATAAGCTTGTCCTCCTTTTATTTTATGGAGAACTCACACAGGCCAGGTGTTCACATGGTGGTCAGAAGAAGATACGAGGACACTCTCAAGGTCTCTCTTAAGAACTTTGGAATTGATTGTGTGACATGGGAGACACTGGCAAAGGACCGCTCAAAAGGTGCTGTGTTCTGTGAGCAAAGCAGAATTGAAATAGCTCAAGAGAAATGCAAGATACGCAAACTTAGAGAATCCACCCCAAAGGTTCACACAGACTCTTTGTGTCTGACCTGTGGTAGAACATTCCCAGCTCATTGGTCTGAAACTTGACCCTGGCATAGTGATGTCAGGCTACTAACCAGATTCAAATCTTTAATATACCCTCCAAAATCAGTGTGCTCCACAGCTTCAGTTGCTTCCTGTGATGGTGCAAAGAAATTCTCCTGATCCTGATCTTATAAGCCGTTCTGGCTTATAGGAAGTGGACAAAGTACCTAAAGCACCCGCCTCTCCTATTCTTCCCAGCCCTCCATCTCAGATCTTTTCTAACCCTAACTCTCTTAGCCTAAGTCCCACTTAACACTGACAGGTCAGCAGCAGTCTTTACAAACGTCATCTGGCCTCCCCGAGCTCCTGGAGCTTCCTAAGGTCCAGTCTGCTCACTTACCTGCCATTGAGCCACACCATCCCTTTTTTGTGATGTGTTTTGCTGGCACAGGCTTTGGGGCAGGGTTAACTAAGGTACTGCACAGCCGTAAAAAGCAGTGGTCCTTTCTCACTAGGGTCCTTCTGACTGCTTATATACATGGATTATAGAGATATGATAGATTGGATGTGTTACATTCACAAGGGAATCACAGGAAGAGCCCTTTGGAGATCCAGTCCTTAAGCCTTCGCTTTTGCTTCTAAGTATTATTTACCCAGATTGTGTCGGTATTCTCTTGTCCTGAGACATCACCAGGGAAGGCAGTACCACCGCCTCACTCACACCTGTTGCCACCTTGAACCCCTCTGTTTTTACTTGTCCATTCTTATTCTCCTCATGCTCCTGCACAGTCCTAAAGGAAGGTATTTTTCTGGGGTTTTATATGTTTTGTGAGGACGAAGTGGGAAAGAACGCTTTTCAAGGAAGTCCACGCCTTACATCCTGGTTTCTGTTGCTCCTTTATTGACACTGTTGAAATCTTTGACCTCACCAAAATTAAAACCAAAGCTGAGGAGTGAGTTGGAAAGAAGAAACCCCTGGAAGAAACTTTTCTAAATACTTACCTTCGATTTGAAGTGTTTATACACACCTAGTAGGAATGTGCTGGGCCACCGAGGCCTCTGATATGCATATACATTTTATTGCCTCTTCAGTCTGTCTTCTTGTTCAGGAATGGGTTATGCTTTATCTGAACCAGCAGGGAAAATGAATAAGCTCCAGTGTTTATATGAAAAGAATAGATGTAGTTGTTTCCATGTGCCCTGCACAGCAGGTGCGGTTCAGTGGCAGATAAGCCAGCACACTAGACCTCAGGAAGCTTTGGGGAGGCCAGGTGGAGTTTGTAAAGGCTTCTGCTAACCTGCTTTAGGAACTTGGGCAGAAGCATTGGGGTTAGAAAAGATCTGAGATAGGAGCAGCTAAGTGGTACAGTGGATAGAGCACTTGCCTTGGAGTCAGGAGGACTTGAGTTCAAATCTGGCCTCAAACATTTGACACTTACTAGCTGTGTGACCCTGGGCAAGTCACTTAACCCCATTGCCTCATCCAAAAAATGCAAAAAAACAAAAAACTGAGATGAAGGGCTTGGAGGAAAAGGAAAGGTGGGTGCTATAAGCACTTTGTCCACTTCCTATAAGCCTGCAGTAGATGACTCGGGAGAACTCATTTGCACTGTCACAGGAAGCAACTGATGCTGTGGATCACACTGATTTTGGAGGGTATGGTTAAAGATTAGATTCTGATTAGCAGGATGCCAGAAGCAATAATCTGTCCTACTTGTAAATTCCTCTGCTCTTATAGAGATAGGCACATTAATCTAAAATGGTGTTCTGACCATGAAACTCACTGTTCAAAAAAACTTCAGGGACTCTCTTATCTGTAAAATCAAAATCCATAGTCTGGTATTCATGACCCTCTATGACCTGGCTCAGACTTATCCACCACCTCTAATAGTACCGTCCCCAAAACACCCCCGCCTCTAAACATGCCTTGTTCTTTAATGCTCCTCCCTTTTTGTTCACACTATTCCCTCACAGCTTAGGATGCTTGCCCTAGTTTTCTCTCCCTAGCCTAAATGTAGCTCAGTCTGCCTCTTTGTTCAGATTTCCTGGAGTATTCCACAGTAAAAGAGATCAGTCCCTTAGAACTCCTAAGGTGCACTGTCAGTACCATTTATATCTCTATCAATCATGTACTGCCTTGTGATAGCTCTTTTTTTGTTCTCCTTTATATATGCTCTCAACTAGATTAAAAATTCCTTATGCACAGAAGTTTATGCCTCTCTGTTCCCTAGCACTGTGTATTTGTTGCACTTAATGGTCATCGGTTGGTTGAACTGTCTGAGAGCTAGATGGTTTGTGGTTTACTCTTCCTGTCTAATCTGTATTCTCCCTTAAACTTTGAAATTGTCACAGGAGCAGCTTATAGAGAGCTCAAAGGTGCCTTTCTACAACTGTAACTTAAACTTTTGGGTTAGCATTGAATCACAGACTCCTAACTTTGGGAGGTAACGTCAGACACCATCTGGTCCGGCTCCTACTTGAACAGAAATCAGCACATACACACGCACGTGCCTGACAAAGCGGCCATCTGATCAGATAGACTTTGCTTGAAGCAGACTTTGCTTTGAGGGAATGGAGACCCACCACCTCCCAGACTAGACCATTTCTTGTTGTTCAGTTGTTTTTCAGTCATGTCTAACTCATTGCAACACCATGGACCATACTGTCTGTGGGGTTTTCTTGGTCAAGATACTGGAGTGGTTTGCCACTTCCTTCTCTAGTAGATTAAGGCAAACAAGGTTTAGTGACCTGCCCAGGGTCATACAACTAATAAATGTCTGAGGCCATTGAACTCGGATCTTCCTGATTCCAGGACCAGCAGCACTCCATCCATTGAGACCATCTGGATGCCCCATTTCTCCTCTGGGATTATTTGATTGGTTGGGAAGTTTTTCCTTATATCAAAACTAAATCTGTCTCTCAGCAGTTACCAAACTTTGGACATTGTGTAGGTTCTTTTCTAGAAAGAGAGACTGATAAGCTGTTTATCAATTGCTAGTGGAACCATATTATTTGGTCTTTTCTGGAAGAGTCACAAAGACTCAGGAAGCTGTTGGTTTTCCTGTGCCTAACTTTGTTTTGTGTCCACACCCTCACAGGCTTACTTCTGGCAGGATCTTCGAGGCCATCTATTCCAACCCCCCTCATTTTACACACGAGGAAACTGAGGCTCAGAGTTCAGTGACTGGCTCAGGGTCCCTTAGGACCCTGGGTTCAAGGTTAAGTGATTTGCCCAGGGTCACACAGCTAGTAAGTGTCAAGTGTCTGAGGCTGGATTTGAGCATAGCTCCACAAAATTTCCTTGAGATACCTAGAATTTAATACATACTACTATAAGTCAGAAAATGAATATTTTTTTTTGCTTGTTTGTCTCTGTGTATTGCATCCATTCACCCATCATCACAGGGTCCCTTAGGACCCTTACTATAGGCCTATAGTAAATGACAGAAGCCAGATTTGAACCCAGATCTTCTCTCTCCAAATAGTGTGCTGACTGCTAGAGAAGAGAGACAGAGAAAGGAGACGCTGTCCCCTTATGCCATGAAGGTCCAAAGCTGGTCCTAGCTCCTGCCTGGGAAAGTTTACAGTCTGTTAGGAGACAGAGAACACAGAGATAACAGAGAAAGCCAGGCACCAGCTGTACAGGTCGTTGTCCATGTTGATAGGGCATTGGTATGTGCCTTGATGTCCTCAGAGTTGCCTGTGACAAGCCCGAGTCCTCACACCACACTTTTCTCCCTGCCTCCTCCTTTCCCTTTACCTAGGGTTATACGTCCTTCTGGAATGACTGCATTTCTTCTGGGCTTCGAGGAGGCATCCTGATAGAATTGGCCATGCGAGGCCGGATCCATCTGGAACCCCCGACCATACGAAAGAAGAGGCTACTTGACAGAAAGGTAACCCCATAACCTCTCTTCACACCACGGCCCCCCCTCCGTTAGTAGAGGAAAACTGGGTGAAATTGGAGTGTGGTCTGTCCCTCCCACGAACCCCCTGACACCTCCAAGCAAGGAGCGAGGCCTAGGGGAGGGGAAAGAAGCAGGCACGTGGTTGCCTATCCAGTTTTTTCCTTCCTTTCTACTGGATGAACATGGAGAGTGTGCCCAGTGCTCTTATCTTGTCTCCTCACAAACCCTTCCCTCCTGCAGCCAGGCCTGTCTCCTCATCGCCTCTGGGAAACTGTGGTCTCATTGGTCACTAATGATTACCAAATCCATTGACCTTTTCTTAGCTCTGAAACCAAATTCCTCATCGTCTTCCCGGACTAGATCCCCTTTTCTATGTCTGTGGATCAGTCTCAAAAACTTGGCGTTCTCTTTGAATCCACCCTCCCGCCTGTCCCCTACATCCACCGCCAATCCTTTCGGTCCTTCCTTGAAATCGCTTTTCTTATTGTCGTGTAACTTTTGGGGGTCTGTGCTCGAAGTCTTCATTCAGTTGTAAACACCCAAGGGCAGAGAACATGCAATATATCTTTATCTCCTATAGCATCGACATAACGTTATGAATATAATAGTTTCTTAATAACTATTTGTTGAATACTTTTGAACGAATAAATACATACCCCTTGTTCCTTTCCTCTTCTTCCCTAAAAGGTGTTGCTAAAGTCAGATAGTCCGACTGGCGATGTCTTACTGGATGAAACACTCAAGCACATCAAGGCCACAGAACCGGCAGAAACGGTTCAAACATGGATAGAGCTGCTCACTGGTAAAAGAATTCAGAATGTCTCTTATCTCCGCTTTTCAGCGGCCAAGACATGGTCCTGAAGCAGAAATTCAGATATGTTGTTTATGAGAGAATAAGAACTTGGTTTAGAATGCATCCAGTTAATATAATAATAATAAAAGTTAACATTATATGTCACTTACTAGGTGCCAGGCACAGTGCCAAGTGCTTTACAAATATTGTCTCATTTAATATTCACAGCAACCTTGGAAGATAAATGGCATTATTATTCTCATTTTACAGATGAGGAAACTGAAGTAGACATAGAGGTTAAGTGATAGCCCTTTGTCCCCGGTGCCTCCTAGCAGCCTAATGCCAGAGATGCCAGCCCTGGCCACCCGATTGTGGCTGTCCTCTCCCCTCCCCCTCTTGTTTCTGGTGCCTTCTTGAGGCTTCTCAAGTCTTCAAGACGATTTGGATAGCAGGGTGATGGTTAGAGGGGAGGGGAGGGGGTATATAGCACGACAGGGGTCATACTACCCTTCTGGGGAATGATGATACCCCAAACAAGAGAGTTTATCCTCAACTTCAGGAAGATATAGCATGATGTGTTTATGGTGTTGGAAGCATGCTGCCTGCTCCCTAGGCAGCAAAGATATAAAAGTCAATAAAGACTGGGGAACCTTGTTGAGAGAGGCAAGGAAGAACAGTCTGATGGCTCCCTGAGGGCCCCTGGGGTGTCCCCTTGGTGGGACTGCGAGGTAGGGGAAAAGACAGAAGACTGGCCACCACACAGACGCGTTGGGTAGTGTGAATCTAAAAGAATAAAAACCCTTCTTGTAATTGGTAGCAGCAAGAAGGCAGCCTGAGCTACCCCAGGTTCCTTTACTGCTATGCGTGGAAAGTGTTGTGATTCTTTTAAATTCAGACAGCAAAGAGCACAAGCCTGGGACAAGTATTATTTTCTTATTGAAGAAGTCCCTAATCTGGAATAAGATTACCAAAGGATACAAGCTTATCAAGAGGGTGTGATAAATATTTGGCAAATAACCATATTAGCCTATACAAATTCATCTGTTTTATTTCTTTTGTGCTTATGGTAAATTAAGAATTTATTTCCTTTCATGTTGAATAGAGGGTTCATAAATCCAAGGAGTACAGAGCTCGAAAAGACTGGGAACCTCTGCCTGAGAGGTCCCAGACCACAGGGCCACTGCCTGGGAACTGTTGGCCACAGTCTTACGTGTGTCTCTTCATCTGTCTCCCAGCCCCCCTGGTGGCAACCCAAGTAGCAGTGAGATTTTTCCTCCTCTCCCCCTTCAGCAGAGTGCTTGTCTCTCCTCCTCTTTGGCTCAGGCCAGTGGCCATTTCACCTCTTCCCTGCCATCGTGGGAGGGACGGGGATAGGCAGTGTGCTTCTCCACACTGTCCCTACTAGAGATGAATGCACACCCCCTTTTTTATTGGTCCTTCTAACTGTTGTCCATCCTCCACTCTTGCTCACTGCACAAAGAACTCTACCATGCAGATTGTCTTAATGTTTGGAAAAGTCTCAAGAAGGTGCCAGAAACACTGTAGGTGTGTGTGGGGGGTGGGTCACAAGCTTATAGTTGGATTCCCTCTGTCACTGCAAAGCCTTTGTTCTTTCTCTCTCTCTCTCTCTCTCTTTTTTTTTTTTTTTTTTTTTTGTGAGGCAATCAGGGTTAAGTGATTTGCCCAGGGTCACACAGCTAGTAAGTGTCAAGTGTCTGAGGCTGGATTTGAGCATAGCTCCACAAAATTTCCTTGAGACACCTAGAATTTAATACATACTACTGTAAGTCAGAAAATGAATATTTTTTTTTGCTTGTTTGTCTCTGTGTATTGCATCTATTCACCCATCATCACAGGTGAAACATGGAATCCCTTCAAGCTGCAGTACCAGCTGAGGAATGTGCGAGAACGGATTGCCAAAAACCTGGTAGAGAAGGGTATCCTGACCACTGAGAAGCAAAACTTCCTGCTCTTTGACATGACCACCCACCCAGTGACCAACACAACAGAGAAACAGCGGCTGGTCAGAAAGCTTCAGGAGAGCGTTCTGGAGCGATGGGTGAATGACCCCCAGCGCATGGACCGCAGAACCCTGGCACTCCTGGTACTGGCCCACTCCTCAGATGTGCTGGAAAGTGTCTTCTCCACCCTGGCAGATGACAGATACGACGTAGCCATGAATAGAGCCAAGGACCTGGTAGAGCTTGACCCCGAGGTGGAAGGAACAAAGCACAGCGCCACGGAGATGATCTGGGCCGTGTTGGCAGCCTTCAATAAATCCTAAAGCCGGCAGGCGGGTTCCTCCTTTCCCCCTGCTGCTGCTGCTGACCACCAGAAGCCACATCACTCCATCCGTGGGATGAGGTGTTTAGGAGTTGGTTGATTTTCATCTATTTTTTCCTTCTCTTGGACCAAATTCTTGGTGAGTAAGCGAGCAACCTCAGGGCATTGCCACAGGCCTTGACATGATAAATGAAGACTTGCCACTTTTCCCAACACTTCTTAGCCCGCGGAGGAGAAGTTGGGGCTCAGCGCCCTGCTCTCCTTTTTTTTTGGCTCGCCCCCATGGCTTACGCAGATGTGACCAAGGTGGGGTCTGGATGCTTCGGCCACAGTGTCAGGCAGAAGTAGCAGAGCAAGCTCTTCATTTTTCTAAAAAATTTGTCCCATCTTAAATATATAGCTCACTCAAGTCCTTTGTCTCTTGGACTCTCTCAGTGTACTGTAGTTTATTAAAGCAGCATCCTCCTTGGGTGAAGGGCAGAAATCTAAACCAGTTTTTGAAGCACTTGAGATGTGGTATTTGTACATCCCTGTCATGCCAGCGTTCCCCCCCCACCATCTTTCCATTTCTAGCTTAAAGCATGTCTAAAGCCTGCCAGCCTGGTCATAAATATTTAGAGATGAGAGATAAATTTTCAGACTCCCTCCTATTCCACTCTTCCCCTGGTCAGAAAACCAATTTAAAAATTTATCTCTTAACTACCTCCTGTATGCATTGCAGCATTGGAAGCTGTGATAGGGAAGGAACAAAATTCCTACAGTACCACAAGATTATTTTGGTTTCCTCCTCCCTCCTGTGCCCTCCAGTCCTTTTCATATATTTATTTTGGCTTCAGCCAGTGAATCTGGAACTGAAATTGCTCTTGGAGTTCAGAGTAAGTATCTAAGCTCTAGGTCTTTACTCCATCAGGCTTCCTGACCAGAGGTGAGGAGTCCCCAAACTCCATTTTATTGTTAAGGTTATGAGCCCCCTCCAGATCACTCATCTTCAAACCTCCTCCGTGTAATTTGTAACAGAAAGGTCTCCCGTTTTCGACTCTGTAGAAGAGGCAGGAAGAACATTTATTGAGGGCGCCTCTTGGGGATTATGTATCTTAAGAAAGGAAATTTAGTATTAGAAACCAGGAATGAGTTCAGCTAATGTTAGAAATTGAGCCATCCCTGCACACCCCTCCATACCCCTCCAATAAGCACTGCCTCTTGACTATGGCTAAAACACAGTCTGTCAAAGCCCAGGCCTCCTGGTAGTTCTGGAATGGACCTCTCCAGAGGGTTGTCATGCATGTTCAAAAGTAAGTGGATGTTTCAGCATAATCTCTTTCCTTCTCCCTAACTTGGCCACAGTAAGCACAAATATTACCAAATTAACATGTCTTAGTTTTCCCTTAATGACCTTTTGATGACTAGAAGCAAATTATTGGTGATAATTATGAAACTAGGCAGAATTCCAGATTTGCTTTTCTTGAGATAGAAGCCAAATCCCTCATAACCCTCTTTGGCTTTGCTGTACTTGCAATTTGAACAATTCATATGCATGAAAACCAGGTTGTCCTGTGGAAAGCATCAGTTTAAATGGTGCTAGAGGTCGTGTTAGTGTGGTTCTTTTCGGTCTTTGGTCAGTCATTATTTTTAATACTTCTCTCTCGAAAAGACAGGGAGAGGCCAGGTATGAATCTGCATTGTGTATACTGCCAGTCAGCTTCCCTATACTTGCATATGGCCATCATCTTTGTTCAATAAAGTTTGTATTCTTGGCTGTCTTGTCTCTTGAGTACAATTTTATAGTGTCTAGAGCTCTGACTGGAGGTTGGGGTCCTCTGTGAACGACTCCAGGAATGGCTGACCTCCCTCCTCACTCCATGTTATCAGTCTGTATTGTTTCATTAGGCAGTTCAGCATTTCAGGAGGCTAAGATCTCATCGATGTGGCTATTCCCTTAATTAACTCTTCTAACAGCTTAGTTGCTGTAGCTGAAATCACTACTAACAGAGATAGGCTGGTTCTGGGAAGACAAGTATTCAAAGCTTTTCCACTTTGGCAGGATCTCTCAATCAGAGCTATATTCTTTTGGCAAAGCCTTCAAGACCCCAGGGTCACCGCCAGGCATTTTTCAGTCAGTGTTGCTTCATTATGTGTGGAAAATCTGAGGTACGCAAAATTTTAGAATTGTGATATGTTATATATAGACATGTTAAGGCAAAAATCCAAACACCAACTAACGTGGACCTTCACCAGAGGAATCTTTGTGATATCAGCATTTAACAGAAAGGTCACGGGAAGAACATAGTAATAATAGTAATATTATGGAAACTAGGAGGATTATTCTCATTCTAATGATTAATATGTCTGCTGGAATTAACCTTATGACTTTAATTTTATTTACTAGGAGGCTAAATCTCAGACTTAAACACAGCAGACATTCTAAATAACAACAAAGCTAATAATTGTAATGATTATCCTTATAACTAGCTTGTTTTTCTTCCTTTGTTCTAATGCCTATAGCAGAAAATAACAATTAGAAATTTTGTTAATTAGGGTCCTGTTTATATTTATGTGGCCATCTGTAATTTAGCCATTTGTTTGAACAAAGTTTTTTTCTCTTGGGGTCATCTGTAGCGATCCATAAGTAATATTTCACAGATATTTGAATTTTAGATATCTTAAATTCCTAGAAAAAGACCTTGATGGTTATCACCAACACAGTCTTGAATTAAAGAAATTATCCTTTAACAATGCAGTTAATTAATGTATATATAATTTGTTCTTTCCCTTTGTAGACCTTGTCACCTGATCATGGCCACCCCTCCCTCTCTCCCTTCCCCCCCACTCCACATAACTTTTTTTTTCCTTTTTGGTGAGGCATTCAGGGTTAAGTGACTTGCCCGGGGTCACACAGCTAGTATTTGTCAAGTGTCTGAGGCCGAATTTGAACTCAGATCCTCCTGACTCCAAAGCCAGAGCTCTATCCACTGTGCCACCTACCTGCCCCTACACATAACTTTTAAGAGTGAATATTTCACTTCCTAGAGAAAAAAAAAATCACAGAAACACACCTTTTAATGTCTACCCATAGTTTATTCAGCTTTCTTCTAGTGGAGTTCTGTGTCTTTCTGACTTTGTCTCATTTGTGTGCAACTGTATCTTTGTGTATGAGTATCTCACACTTTTAGTATGATCAAAGTTTTGAGTTGTATTCCCAGTTCCTCCCCCCAAGGCCTTCTTTTTTTCCTCAGTAGGTGCCAGATTGCCCAAGCAGCCTGGAAGGAGACAGCATTGGCTGCTGCTTCTTGGTGACTGGTTAGTGGGGTGGCGGGGGAACTGTTTTTCCCAAAAAGGAGCAAAGGTCTCAGTAACATATGTAGGGGTCCTAGCCAGACACAGACAGGGCCTCCTCCTTCCAGAAAAGAAACCTTCTTGTCATGGTCCAATACACCTAGTACATTTTTTTCCACACCAATAAATTAATGGGAGGGAAGTTCAAATTGAGTAAATCAAGTGCCTTTCAGAATTGTTCTCCATATTATACATGTAAACAATAAATCTGTTTTATTTCTTAATCCAGCTAAAAGGAATTGTTAGCTGTGTTTTCCTGGCATTATACTCACTTTGAAGGGTTAGCTGGAGGTCTAGAAGGCTCCTCTAGGGCTTTCTGACAGCTAGTTAGAAGACAAAATAAAGGTTGATTTTTCTTACATGTCGCATTTCAATATAGTTTAGTTTGATTTTCTATTCCCCTATATCTGAAAATAGGCACGGGCTTTAGGAGGTACCGTGCTAGGTGCTAGAAATGTAAAAAGGAAACATGGCCTGCCCTCAAGAAGCTTACACTCTATTAGGATTGGGGGGAGTAGGGGAAGAGTATACAGCAAGTACCTACGCAAATAAGTATAATGCAAGGAGAACGGAGGAGAGCACTCACAACAGGGGATCAGGTCCGACTTCATGGAGGATGTGAGCCTTGAAGGAAAACAAAGTTCCTGAGAGGCAGATAGGAGGAGGCAGTATGGTTTAAAAATAGTTGGTAGTTCAGTTTGGCTAGAACATAGCGTCTGTACGGGAGAACAGGATGAAATAAAACTGGAAATGTAGGTGGGCGCCAGATTGTGGAAGGCCTTAAATGCCAGGCTAAGGAGTTTTTAAAGCTGATATGTCTCAGAATATTTTAGGGTTCCCTTCCTACTCCCCACTCCCTCTTCTAGTCATGAAGACAAATCTCTAATCTCTCCCTTTTTTTTTGGTTTTGTTTTGTCCTTTGCTTCAGACTCCCAGATACAGACCAGTCTTAAGACCTCTTTTCATGACCTAAGTTAAACAGTGTCTGTGTCCACTCTAGGGTGGGATTGGAGAGCAAGGGAAGATGGGTTAAGGTTGAAGACAGAAAGGGAGCTTTTTCCCAGATCTAAAAATAAGCAAGGACTCCCGTATTCAATTCAATATTTATTCAGTTCCTGCTATGTGCAAGGCACCGTTCTGAAGCATTGAGGATACAGAAACAAAGGAAAATTCCTGACTGGGTTCTTAATAAGCTTATGTGTATCTGAAAGACAGCACAAACGCCTTCTGTTGAAATGCTCTGGAATGTATTTAGTGTGGGTACAGGTATCATTGCCAACTATTTTACAAACTAAGAGTTGTTTGGCCCCCTTCTATTCCAATATCTTCCATTTTCTCCCCACCCTGGACCCCCCCGTCACTGCATTATAGCTCTTCACAATCATCTGACAGATTTTATGCATGTTTGTGCTACGAACAGCTTAGATAAGTAAAAGCTAACCATTAACTCCTATGATGTTACTATGGTTCATTTCAATAGGCCTGCCTGGAATTTAAGGCTCTCCAACTATTTAAATCCAGATAATAGTTCATTTCAGCAGATACATTATCAGGCTGTCAACAATCCTATTAGTTTCAGTAATATTACTATTTGTTTTAATTTATACCAGAAGTTACTTTCTAAAATATAACCAGTGTCTTCCAGAGCAAAGTATCTTTAACGTGAACAATTTTTTTCTTTTTCTTCTGCTTGTTCCTTTTTTGATTATTAAACTTCGTTTTGTTATGTCACAGAAAACTTCAGTGTACTCACACTTAAATCCCCCATGATGTGTAATTTCTCCAGTGAAGTGAACTCTGGTGACCATGTTTGTGAGCAGTGTTGGGGATTTAATACTTGTAGATTTTTAAAGTGGTTGTCATATGATTGTCATAACTGTGTATATTCTCTTGGATCTGCTTTGTTCACTCTGCATCACTTCATATAGTTCTTTCTGTGTTTCTTTGCAGTTTTTCGAAAAAAGAAATTGTACATTAGAATCCTGCTTATCCCACGTCTCCTCCAACATTTCTCATTTTCCTTTTCTGTCATATTAGCCAATCGGGTAGGTGTGAGGTTGTGCCTCAGAGTTGTGTTCATTGCATTTCTCTAATCAATAGTGATTTAGAGCATTTTTTTTATGTGACTATACTTAACTTTGATTTCTTCTGCAATTGCAAGTAGGGCTGCAATGAGTTTCATCAGATAGAGTTTTCCTTGTTTTCAATAAACTCCTGGAGGTATAAACCCAGTCAATTGCTGGCTAGTAAAATGTAAGCCTCTTTAGGACAAGGGGCTATTTCAGCTTTTGGTTGTATCTACTATTGCCTTACTTAAATTGTCACTTAATAAATGTCTGAATTGTTTTGTTGAATTGAATGAACAATTTTATAACTTCTCTTGCATAATTCCAAATTGTTTTGCGAAACAGCTAGACTGATTCATGGCTCTACCAGCAGTTAGTTGCTCTTTTCTTTCATTCCTGTCATTGAATTTTTTCATCTTTTACCACTTTTGCCAATTTTTGATTATGAAATGATACCTCAGAATTTTAAAAATCTGCATCAATATAAAACTTTTGACAAAGTATTTAAACTGAGGTAGCCAAAACATGTTATAGCTGGAAGGGACCACAGCTTAAACCCCTCATTGTACAGTTGAGGAAACTGAGGCCCAGGAGATTCAAGAGCTTGCTCCCGGTTACACAGCTAGTTTGATAGAGCTAAGGTGCAGCTTTCCCACAATTCATAAACCCCAATTTTGGCCAGAAGTTTCCATCCCCTTTCCCTAAATCAAACTTAGCAATCCCATGGCCTAGCCTGAGCTTGTCCTCTCTTCCTTTCTCCATCCTTTGGCAGATGTATACGAACAAGGAGCAAAATGGGCAAATCGATAACGATTAGATCCTGGATCGCTGAGGAAATAGCTGGCCCTAAACATATTGGAAAGGAAACAAATTTGATTTAGGGTTCCCCCCACTCCATGTGCTTTTTGTTTTCCCTTTAGGGTGCTCCTCCATGCTTCATATTTGCTGAGTATGGGGCAGCTAGATGGCACAGTGGATAGAGCACCAGCCCTGGAGTCAGGAGGAGCTGAGTTCAAATGCGGCCTCAGACACTTGACACTTAGGAGCTGTGTGATCCTTGGGCAAGTTACTTAACCCCAATTGCTTTGCTAAAAACAAAAAATTTGCTGAGTGTTCCCAACCCCAGCCATGGCACTTAAACCTAAGCTTGCCTTCCAAGAGAGGCCTCAGGTTTTGAATTATTCCCTGATGTCATCAAAGTAATTCTGCATAAAGTAAGCCTTATGGATAAATGAGGTCAACACTCACCCCTTTGGTATGATTTTTAAGTGAAGAGACCCTGCCTTTAAAAACCTCTCCCACAGGCAGCTAGGTGGTGCAGTGGATAAAGCACCAGCCCTGGAGTCAGGACCTGAATTC